GTGGATTGATCCAAATAGTGATAGATACCAACACTGATAGTGATATCAGATCAATACTCACGTGTTAGGATTCGTCTCTGTTCTCTAAGTTAAGTTTTTTTTTCACTGGTGTCCTGCATGGACTTGATTTATTAAACAATTTATAGTCTTCCATCAGGGATTTGATTAGTGAGTAAACTCGTTGGAGAATTCCTTACTGGAGCCCTGGTCTCGTCCAGCCAGCAGGTCGGCTCCCACCATGGCCCCCACTCCGAGCAGACAGATGCAGACGGCGACAGAGTGGATCAGCCTGTAGCGAGCCTTCAGAATCCACCAGCTCAGACCCATCAGGACCGGGATCACGAAGCAGTCCAGCAGCTGGAGGCAGAAATGATAGCTGTGCAATAACGTATGCGATGGATCAATTAATTTGTTTTGAACTAATTTTAATGACCACTAATTCACTCTGATTTTTTCTTTTACATAATAATTAGTTAAAACGACAAAACACCTTTCAGTTTCAACCTCAAGACAACTCATTAATTTAACACAGTTTAGTGGGCTACATACTGAAGTGAACTGAACACCAACACCAATACCAGCTGGTATTGATACGATCGATTCTTTGGATCAAACCCCACACTTCTAGTTTTTGTGGTGCCTTTTGGAGCAAATTGATGGAATTATTTGATTTGTATTATTTACCATGTGGAACATCCAAAATGCTTCTGATCCAGCTGTGACTTTTGAGTTACAATTTACTGACATGTGTTTCCATTTTAGGAAAAACTGATAGTGATCGATTGATAAAATTGAGCATATTATGTACTGAAGGAGTGGTGGCACCCTTAGTAATCTTGGCACTTTCATAACACACTGAAATAAATTTTGAAAGTCTACTCACCTGTATGCTGGTGATGGTGGTGTATTGGTACGCTTTAACCACAGTGTAGTTTGCTTCCACGTCCACCAGCCCGAGCAGCAAGTACTTCCACCATCGTCTCTTCAAAATCTGTAAAAAATTGCCATCCCCTGCATTTTAAAGGGGAACACCCCTGAACTTCAGTACTGATGTGTTTGTTTCTGCAACAAGCCTGAGGACACTCTGCCTCACTGCAAAGCAAAATATATTTGCATATTTACAAAAAAAATCCAAGACAAAATCTCACAAATTTCTGAAAAGGACAGTCCTAAACTTAGAAGAACAAATCAACAAATTTACAAAGAAAATTTTAGATTTTTAGTCAGAGAACCACCTCGCTTTACTTTTCTAGTCCGTTTGCAAAGGGCAACACAAAACAACATTTCTATCATCACAATTACTTTACACATTCTGTTAATCACAATACAACACCCAGTTTGGAAAAACCTGCCTCTGAATATCCCAGTAAAGACTGATCAAGTGTTCTGTGTATTTATGTGTAATATGGCATATAAAGACTTAATTTTACTGCCATAAAGTGTTGCTATGCATGTCATAAATTTCAGCATTAATCTCAGGTGTTCAGCACGGGTGTCACCTGTTCTGCAGAGCAGCATGGTGGTGTAGGTGACAGTCAGCAGGAGGTAGTTCAAGAAACTCTGCAGCATGGGCGTGTTCACATGAAAGTTTGAGGCCAGGAACTGGGAGGTGATAGCTGTGCCACAGATGAGGCCCGCCAGCCCCTGACCCATAGCCAACGTCTTGGCCAGCTGCCTGAGAGAGAGATGAGCGGCGGATCTTTAACAACAGGCACAACAGGCAGCTTTGCTTTTTGAAGTCACTGTAAGCAGATTTAAGAGAAACCTCCTCCCTGCCTGGCAGATGATGCTGTTCAACATGTATATACAAAGTGTTTTTCACTTTTCTAAAGAGTTTGTGAGTAAAGCTTGCTTTACACAAGGTGTTTGGTTGATGATGTTTCTACATGGAGTTTTCCCAGTATAACTAACACAACTCACTTTATGTTCCACATAAGAGTTTGGTATCAATCATATCTCCTGTTGTAAACTGCCACGTTATTCCTTTAAAGGCAAGTTTTTTTATGTTTTATAATTTGATGTTAAAAATGTATTTGACAAAAAAAATGTAAGTACAAAAAAAAATTAGTTGTAGTCAACAATTTAACCTATGACTCTTTAAAATAAAACAGTAGAAATGTAAAGATGGAAATAAAGTTTAAAATAGATGATATTTAATTATTCATAAATGCTGCGAATAACATTTTTAGAAAAGTCTTCATTATCCAGCCTGCAGCCCACTGCAACCGTGGTGTCACAGGTCCACAAATATGGAGGCAAATGAAACACAACTTTAGCAAAAACACAAATTAAAATCAATAAATAAATTGAAAATGGCTACTCTCTTAAGTTTTCCTACTGCAGACCATCCATGCCACATTAGGGTTTGGGTTAACTCTGACATGGCACATACACGCACAGTAAAAGACTAAATAAGTTTAGAAATGTTATTTAAAAAATAATCTGCTGTACTGAATGCTGCAGGATCTTAAAATGTTTGTTTGTTTTTAAAATGTTGAGTTAAGACTTGTCATTTAGGTTCAGCATTTAGGTTTATGCCCCCTGCAGAGGGGTACCGGCTTACAACAGTGACCTGGCTGTACACAGCAGTGGCCCAACCACAGACAATGGTTTGAAAACTGCTTGTGCATAACTAATGAAGTCGAGCTAAAGAATAACTTCTTTTTATCTTTCAGCCTCAATCCGTCATTTGCATTTAGTTTGAAAAAAATGTTGGACTTTGGTTTATTTTGCCCTTTTGAAAATTGTTCAAGCATTGGCCCTTTGGTGAGGCTGTTGTTCACAGCTAATATTTACAGATGTCTCCTACATGAAGGCAAACCATAAAGTTGTCTGTTCAAAGCTTGACTGCAGCGATATCTGTGAAAACATTCACCTGATTTGGAATGTTTTAATTAATTTCATGTGAAATTTATATGTGAGACGCTGTAAATAAAATATCAGAAGCTGTGAGATCTGCATATGTTTAGGGACTACAAGCATCCATCAGTCTATGTAAACCGAGCTGCACACCTGAAGGACTTAGTTTCTAGATAATATGATCTTAAATGGCCCCTCAAAAAACTGCTAGAAAAATGTTTACTCGGCCTCCGTGTCATTCAGCAGCTTTTTCATTTAAAAAAACCCAACTTTTGATTCACTTGAAAGTCTAAATAAAACACAAGTAACTGAACCACTTTGAATCAGACTGCTGGTCTCCCCCTCTCGCCTCCTCTGTTCACTCACCAGGTGAAAACCTGTTTGGGGTTGAATTCTCGGATCCACAGCAGGATTCTGCTCCTTTCGTTCATTTCGCTGGCGTTTCTGGACGAATCCTCGGACCGTTTAGCAACCGTGTCGTCTCACCAGTGATGGAGGAGTGAGTCCTCTCTTTAAGCTTTTAGCTCTTCCACCTTCACGGTATCAGAGCTGAATGATTAACAGCCTCAGAGGGCAAAGATTACTACTTCACTTATCTGTTTGTGTGTGTGCGCCAAAGACTAAAAGATAAGAACCGATGATGAAGGATATATATTTTTAAAGTCATCACTGGGATTCTTTTCACCACTGATGAGATGAAAAAGTCCTTTATCCTTGTTTTTTGTATGCAAATGTCCATGGTGAAGAATATAGTTTAATCATGACATAGATTGTTACTTAAATCTAAGTTAATATTTCCCCACTTTAGACAATTGTGATTTACTGCTTTTAATATTAAGATAGAATTTTAAAAACGTATAAAACTGAAATTATTAAACACATTTAAAAATATATATATAAACCAGGACATCTTAACCTCTATGGTTAAAAGTCTTGGGGCACTTTTCAGTCAAATAAGGTTTGGGAACATAACATGAATATTTTATTTGTAAAATTTGACAGAGATATCCGGAAGTGCATGTGCAGGTTTAACACCTGCAATCCAGAACAGGCAGATAGCCCATGGCAAAACAAGCCTTCAGGGATATTTGGATAGTCTGTAGCCTTTTTACCCAAATACTCTCTCCATTGAACAGATTTCTGTGTGGATGAACAGTTGGTAGCTTTCAAGGGCAGGTGCAGTTTCAGCAACACATCCCTGCTAAACCGGCCAAGTGTGGCATAAAGATCTGTTGTAAATGTGATGCCAAAACTCCCTTTTTACACAAAAATGATTGAAAACTGTGAGCATGTGAATGTTTGTAATGAAAGCTGATCTCATAGTAAAAAAATGGTTTGCATATGAATCCAGATCATCCAGTAAAGCACTAGAAATTGTTTCTTTGTTCAGATACAGAAATCACTGCAATAAATAATATTTACTTTAAACCTCTCCACCCGTCAGCTGCAGGAAAAGCAAAAGAATCTCAACAGGGCTGAAAGACTATTTGTGAGTGAACATTCATCCCCACCATCCCAAACAACAGCAAATAAAAAAAGAAACTATATCATACAACACATGTACAACATACCATCATATAAACAATACATAACAATTAAATTTCAGATTAAGAATAAAACTCAATGTCAGTTTGGAACAAGATTTAAAATGAGATATAAAAAGCATTCTCCAATATTCAGCATAAGACAGTATAGCATATAAATATTTACCACCTCTAAACTATTTCAATAAAAGGTTATTAATACAATGTCACCCTAAAATAATAATCCTAATCCTTTTCAAAGTCTTTCCAAAAAGTTATACAGCAACCACAAAAGAGATGAGTCAACATTATTATTATTGTTGTTGTTGTTGTTGTTGTTGTTGTTGTTATTATAAGTCCATGTTATTACACAATTTTATTGTTGCACTTGTTAGGACTAATTGTGACACGTGATCCACGAGAACAAGCCCTCCGCCCCTTCGTGTGTGTGTGAAATAAGGTTTCTGGGAAGATTTCACAGTAAAAACGCTCCTTTTGTGCGGGCTGACATTACCTAATGCTGAGCCGGCTCCAGCAGGAGTCTCGCGAGATTCTGCGAGGTGATAAGTTGAAGAAACATGGCGACGTCTAATTTGTTAAAGGTAAGAAGCTCTCGAATATATCGCATTTCCTATGCTTGTGCGCACATTCAGTCTCTCCGTTTCAGTGTGTGTTCACGCCTCTAACGGAGATATGTGCTGTCGGTGCCGTGTTTTGCATAAAAGCGCGCTAATTTTTAAATAAACGGATTAAATGTACAAATAGGTGCGCCTGAAGTCACAGTTGTCACCGCTGTCGTCTGTCCGGTGTTAATATCGGAGTCCGTTTGCCCCGGTATTCGTGTATGGCTCCAGCAGAGCAGAAGCAGAACCGAGCCCGTCTCCTGCGGTTCTTAACTCGAGCCAAACCGTAGCCGTTAGCCGGTCACCTCAAGCCGGCGACGACGAACCGACAGCCGGAGGCAGCTTGAAGCCAGGGAAACACGGTTCGGGGAGAAAATCAACCGACAGGACATCGCGTCAACCCCGCAGCTCAACCGTAAATACGTTTCTTTTGGCCAGGTCTTTATTCTTAATTGGTTTTAGCGATCTAACAGCCGGTAAACCGACACCCTCCCTCTGCAACCGAAACCTGCTAAATCTACAAAAGCCTCCATTAAACATAATGTCTTCCAGCAGCAAACGTTAATAACACACCGGGCTACCTATGACAGAGGCGGTCAGGTCGGTGCTGAACATAATTATCGACAGGCGGCTCCCCTCCCATCTGACCCTTGACCCTAACTGTTGGGAGACTTGATGAGCAAACACACGTGCTGTTTTTCAAGCAGACTTGATCTCTCCAGTGTGTCCCAGTGTGAAGGAGCAGGAGCTCTGCTTTGAGTGCCTCCTAAATCACAGAGCCCCTCACCGTATCCCTGTCCATAAGGCTGAGCTCATACACTCTTCAGTGGCAGCTCATTTCCGGCGTTTGTATCCACAATCTCATTCTTTTGTCACTACCCAGAACTCATGGCTTTAGGTGGGGGTAGGAGCGTAAATTGGTCAGGTCTGTGTCAGATTATGAGCTCCAGAGGATGAGCAGCATTCTCTCTGCACCACAATTCTCTGATTTTACGGTCCAGAGGTTGTTGAAAAGGCCAAGAGGAAAAATCTTGAGGTCGGGAGCTTTTCCCTCTTTCTAAAACAGCCTGGCTTAAATACAGCGAGCATAGCCCTGTACATTTGAACAGAAATGTGACAAAGTGCTGAAATGTATCAAAGTCCATGAATGTCCTTAAACATTGCAGAGTGCTTAAAATCGAGTCATTGTTCCAAAAACCTTGCTTTGATTGCTTAAATGAAGTGTTAGATGGGCAGATATGAAGAAAGAGTATGAGAAGTGCTCCAGTACTCTAAATCTGTGGTTCCCAAATGATGTAAAACAACCAATATTTTATTATTACTGTGTAAGATGGCATATAAAGTAATGTAACAGTACACAGTCATTTCCCCTGGGGGAGAAAAAAGAGAAAACCTTTGTCATAGGTAGCTCAGTCTGTTTGCATAGTTACTGGATGATGGGGATTATGAGAGTGAGAGACAAACCAGGAAGTCAAAGTGGGTGTAACAGGATCATTTTGTTTTGGGGTTTGTTTTGCGTGTGGCTCAAACCACAGCTAACTACCAGCACCGATCACCCGTCAGCTAAAGAAAGAAAAAAAAATGTTCACAGAGGGCTGGAAAACCATTTGGTGGATGGTTTGAAACTGAGCAAAATGAAATAAATAAATTAGGTGATGACAACAGCCTGCATGCTAGTGGAGGTTCATGCCGACAAACCCAGGTTCATGCTGTTTTCAAATGGCTAAATGTTACCTAATCTTACTAAGATCAAACTGCTGAAGGGAATTCAATTAAATTGATCACAACATACATGCATTAAGACATAATTATAGATCAGAATTTGTCTTTAAAACACACATTGAAGGTTTGTGTCCAAAATGAATGTTAAGTTTTTGGGGGTTTTTAACAAATAATTACTACTTTTGAAAAAGAAGCTTTTTTTTATGTTATTAGATTAGAGTGGATCATCTGCTCCTAAAGAATAAGATGATGAAATTTATTATACGTTATAATTATTTATTCCGCTCAAATAAATGGAATGGTGCATAGCTCTTTAAAAGAAAAGACAAAATGCAAGTACAGCTAAGGGGTTGTTTTTTCTCACTCGCTTGGGTTGGTTTCCTCTTATCTGTGTATGTGTAAAAACCGTAATCAGTGAAGCCTTTGTTTTCGTGATATTTAACACATATTTGTCCCCAAAGTCAGGACAGAGTTGGGACTCAAAGCTTTTCAGTTTGTTAGAAATCCACACAAGGAGCTGAAAGAACTGGTGGCTGTGGTAGTCTTTAAATTAAGAAATGAAACCGAACCTTTCTGTTGTAGTCAGTGGTTCTGTGTGGCTGTTGTTTTTGTGCTATTTTAAATCCCTCTCACCTGAATAAATAAAGGTTAAAGCCTATATTGTTCTGATACAATAAGTCCTCCTTATAGTGTCTCTAAGTTTGCACAGATGTAAATACAGGTGTGTGTTCAAACACTGATTTGAACTTTGCTGTGACTTTATCAGAAAAAGTTTGAAAACCTCTGCTCTAAAGTCGTCTTTTCCTTCTTCCAGATCTTATATAAATGTGTGCAGCTGAACAGCAAATGTTACCACAGGTGTCACACGAGTGTTTAAAAGTCTTGCTTATGTAAAAATATTAAAAACGTCACTGCAGCGACTGGCCTGTGGTCGTTTGTCTGTATTTGTGTACGTCTGCCTAGTCTTGCTTTCTGTCTTCACGCCTCTGTTCTCATGGCTGTTTTCCTTCTTCCTCCCACTCCCACCCATCCCATGTCTCTCCTGCAGAACAAGGGGTCCCTGCAGTTTGAGGACAAGTGGGATCTGATGCGGCCCATCGTCCTCAAGCTGCTCAGACAGGAAGCTGTCACCAAGCAACAGTGGTTCGACTTGTTCTCGTAAGTGATGCTGTTTTGCTTTGTCCGTTAGTTACACAGCAGCTGCTGACGTTTCTGGAAACAGCTGCTTTATTAGTTCATTTTCATGCAGGTGTTCTTCAACGGGTGTTGTTATTGTTCTGCAATGCTTTCACAGGTCCTGCAGATCTTTCAAAACTCTTAAAGCTTCTGAATCTATAGAGCACAACAGTGAGATTCTGGAAGTAAAAATCCAGTTCACGTCCTCCACAGGAATTTTGATAATGAGCCATAATGTTGTAACCACCTGAAGTGGACTGAAATATTGTGAAATGATGCTAGGCGCTCCTGTAGAAAGCACACGTCCATACGATATCAGCTGTTTTAACCCAAAAAAAGACATTTTATTTGCAATGTCATGAAGAACTGTTTGACCCACAATTCTAAATTTAAATAACGACTGATTGGTGCAGGTTGCTGTTACCATGGAAATGTTTAAACCAGTGCACGTCGGGTCACTTAGTGAACGCAAAACTTCAGAAACTGCAAGAGCGGTGATTAGTCGGGAATGAAGCTCTGCAGCATATCGGTCCGAGGCTATTTTTACTGCACACACCACGATAATGAAAAGGAATAAACTCAAGAAGGCTGGAAGTCGTTCTCTGTGGAATCTGGGATTTGTAGTCCTTTATGTAATGAGTTGTTCCTTCACAGTTAAAAGTAATTATGCACATGGTTTTGTACAATTTTTTTCCCAAATCACATCTTTAATGTTCATGATGCAAATCGGAGCAGGTTGGTTGGTTCAAACTTTAAAAATCTTCTATTTAGGATTTTCCAAATGGTCAGTGGAGAAAGTAAATGGGGAAATTCACTTCTACATACCGAGCCCTTGAGAAAGTGAGCCGTCACTGTTGTTGCCCTCTGTTCACCTAAAACTAATGTATTAATATCAGTATATTAAGATTCATTTATTAGAAGTAGCTCAGTGAACAGTTGCTCCTCGGGACGTAAAGTGGGTGGTAATCAGAAGGCCAGATCAATGTGGTATAAATGCCAGCAGTCCCTTTAAATTCAGCCTTTCTGACATGCGTTAGCTCACCTTTTTTGTTATCTCTGTACAGAAATCCTTGTGCTAGATTCCAGACTAACCAGTGTGTTGTGGAAACCTCAGAGAAAACTGTTATTCGTAGTTTAGTTACAGGTAACTCTGATATTTCCTCCCATAAAGCACGAGTGGACAGGCCCACCAACTCTGTCGGTTTCTTGAAGGAGGTACAAGTTCCTTCTGTGTAAACATGGGCATTATATGATTTTTTTTCCCTTTTGTGAATTAAACAGCTAATTGAGATCTTTACTCACTAATGTGTGCCTGTTTCATGTGTGCATGTGTGGTCATGTTCGTGTTACCCCCAACGGGAGACAATAAAATACTTAACCCTATTTTTTGTTCTGCTAAGTCTGTTAGTCCAGAACATTTCTGACGAGACAGCAAGTTTGCAGCTGATGTAGCCCAAAACATCTCAGAGCAGTTTGTTGTTAGTAATAACAGGGACACCTAACAGCTCACAGAGCTGAACATCTGGAGACTTGTTGTTGGTTTTTCTGTTTTGGTAACTATAAAACTGGTCTTGAATTTAATGCACAGAAGCATTAAACATGTCTTACAAAGGAAGAAGATGTGGGAATCCTCAAAGTAGTGTGGAGTTTGTGTTTCCATAACCGCTTCATAGAATAGAAAATAACAAGCAGCTGCAAGTAAAACCCACAAGGGCATCAAGGCATCTTTTCACCGGTGCTTTGACCTGTTTGCTCATGAAAATATGATGATTTTGTCTTTAAAATTTGTGTTAAATCATAAAAGGCGTGAAAGTAGCAAGTGCTATTTCAGGAATTAAGAGCTGTATAGAGGATTACATTCATATTTAGTAAAGCACTTGTAACGGCTTTGTTGGAGAATTTCATTTATCTAGCCTTCAGTCTTGTCAAAGATTGCAGAAGATCGTGTGATTCATAGGTTAAAAGCCCTGCAAGCCTTTTTTTGTGATTTTTGCACTATTTAAACTTGAACTGTGTGGAGGCCAAAAGAGGTGAATAGGAAGTTGGTGACTTGTCATTTGGTATTGAGAAATATGATGAAAATAGCAGAACAGGAACATGGAGAGTTTTACTGCGACTTCTTATCTTATCCAAAGATGTTTAAAGAGAGAGTGGTCCAACAGTTGATGGAAATTTTAGCAAGTTTATAACGTTTCATGTGGAGACAGGAGCTCACAGAGCGTTCATATGTAAGGTGCTTAGTTATAGGTGAGAAAGATTAAATAAACGTGGCGAGCAGGAGAAAGTCCCCAAACTCAGTTATCCAAGAAAACAGCTCAACCCACTTGTTGGTGGATCAAACCAGCAAAATGTTGTTTGCTGGTTTGATCCACCAACAAACATCATTTTCTCCACATCACGCTGGAGTTCCTGGATCCAGAATAATATCTGCATCTGGGCTTATTTGGACTATTCTCTTTTGAACATGAAGGAAACATCTCACAGTTGTTCTTATTTTAATGTGGTATGTATTTGTAAAGATATGATGTCAAACCTCCAGATTTTCTTATCTAACCTCATTTCTTAGTGACACAGAGAGCAAAAAAAAATCCTGGATCCAGATCAGGTTCAGGTTTATCACAGTGCAGCAAACTGGGAAGTGAGAAAAAAGAGAAAGCCGAAAAAACGGCCTGAACATTTCCAGAACAGCAGGTCCTGTGGTGTGGAGGTGGGGCTTCTTCTAATCAGTTATTATCAGCAGTGTTGTGATTGTAACGATTAAAGCCCAGCCTTGGGGGGTTGTCGGGGCAATCTAATGTACTCCTAGTGTCAGTCCAACGCTCGGACTGATGGGAGGGTTGCATCAGGAACAGCATCCAGTATAAAATCAGTGCCAAATGAAATATGCAGATCCATCTGCTGTGGCGACCTCGTGGGAAATAAGGGAACTGCCAGAAGTATTTTACTGAGATGTAACTCAATTAAGCACGTAAACAGATTTATTGAACTTAAAAATAATTTTTAAAGTGAATGTCTTTGTATTTTAATTATGATTTAATTGGAAAATAATCATTTGAGCTGAATACAAATGCAGTAGCATTGCAGGGAGTGAATGTTGCACTAAGTTTGAGTAATTTCACAGCCCTGAGCTGCAACACGAGGAGCTTGGATGTTATTACAGAAAGTTATAATAGAAAGGTGTCTAAACACATGTGGACACAGATGTGGTTGCGAGGGTGGTTTTCCACTGTCATTAAGACCTGTGGGTGTTTTGGGTTAAAGTTTTTAGACTCTCTTGGGGGGTTCGGTGTTTGTGTTAAGCACCTGTATTTGCTTTGTCTTTGCACTTTTTACTGTCAGGCAGCTGATGACCTCTGACCTAGAAAGGAGCTTTATGAAGAAGCTTAGATTACTCTAAATTTAAGTTTACATAAAAAAATTTCAGGTCTAAAGCCTCACAGATGTGCTCTTTCTGTCCTCCAGAGATGTTCACGCTGTGTGTCTATGGGATGACAAAGGACCAGCCAAAATCCACCAAGCCCTCAAAGACGACATCCTCGACTTCATCAAACAAGCACAAGCTGTAAGCAGATAAACTCAGATCATGTCAGGAGGATTAGGCGGAGTCATTGTCCAAAGTTGCCCTTTTCCACATGTTGCATACTCGCTCCTGGCATCTTCTCAGAGCTACGAGTACTGTGATTGGTTTAGAGAAGGGACCTGCTTCAGTAGAGTGACCAGGAGCCTCTTTACACTCACTTGCTAACTGTGAATTCCCCCACAACATGTCATGAAATCGGTGATGGGGAGCTGGAACGTTAAATCCTGTTTCAATGTGACCTCATCAGACATTTGGGCTCTCACATCCAGGTCCATTGTTTACAGTATAAAATGCCTCAAGATGACAGTTGTTGTGATTTAGTGCTATATAAATACATTTTGAGAGTTGGGTGGTTTGGTTAGCAAGCTGCATCCATATACTGTACAACTACAGACACAGACATCTGCTAATTAGTACAAAATAAGAGACTAATCAATTATTAGAAGCAAGCATGACCATAAAACGCATGAAAACCACCAGATGTGACCTTTAATTGTCATGCTTACTCTGGAAAGGGACAAACACAGACATGATGAGTGTGTTTGTTTGTTTTCTGGTTGATCCATATCACCTCCGTCTTCGCAGCGAGTGCTGAGCCACCAGGACGACACGGCTCTCCTCAAAGCCTACATTGTGGAGTGGAGGAAGTTCTTCACCCAGTGCGACATCCTGCCCAAACCCTTCTGTCAGCTGGAGATCACACTGATGGGAAAACAAGGCAGCAACAAGAAAACCAACATGGAGGACAGCATTGTACGCAAGGTGAGAGGTCAACATATGAGCTGGGGAACCAGAAGCACTAAAGGAAGCAGAAGGGAAACACAGTGGCTGGTGTGGACGGCTGATTGTGAAGAAAAGCTAAAGAAGCAGGAGGGCATTAGATGAAAGAAGACAAAGCCTTTTATGAACTTTATAAAGTCATAAGTGGAAAAGGTTAGTAGGGAGGGCAGATATCAAAGTGAAAGAATAGTAAAAGGCAGAAAGGCTGCGAAAGAAGAGGCTCACGCAGAAGAAAACATTGAATTTTAACTGTTATATGTAGACGGTGGAGAGCAGCTAAGGGTCAGTTAGCCTCGAAATCTCGAATCAGTGAACAGCTTAAAACATGACTCATACGATATTTATTTGATCTCTGTGAGGAAGGTCTCGGAAGTGAGGGGGATGCTGTGGGTGAGGGAGTGTGACTCAGCAAGCAGGAGGTTTTGTTAGAAGCGCTTCATAAATAAATTCGGCTTCACTATTCTCAGGTTGCAGGAAACTGATGGTATTATTGTTTAACTCCCTCCTTATTTTTCACAGCTGATGCTGGACACGTGGAACGAGTCGATCTTTTCAAACATTAAGAGTCGCCTGCAGGACAGCGCCATGAAGCTGGTGCACGCCGAGCGGCTGGGCGAGGCCTTTGACTCTCAGCTCGTGATAGGCGTACGAGAGTCATACGGTAAGACGGGGGGGGCATGTGCTCCATCACTGCTTATCCAATTTGTAAAACCCATGAATGGTGGATGTTCAAATCTGCCTCGGAAGAGAAGATAAAATAATGATAATAAAAGCCAAAAGCAATATTTTTGAAATCAAAGTGATAAATTTAGGAAAGATAAAGGAAAAAAATGTAAAAAATATACAGTGAAAATGTCAAGTTATGAGGAAACAAACTGTATTCAGCCTTCAGTAGCCCCAAAATGTCATCATAGTTTATAAAAAAATCTTGAAAAATATAAATAAACACTTTCTTACTTCTCTCCCACCAGTCAACCTGTGCTCTAACCCGGAGGACAAGCTGCAGATCTACAGGGATAACTTTGAGAAAGCCTACCTGGACTCTACAGAGAGGTTCTACAGAACTCAGGCGCCGTCCTACCTGCAGCAGAACGGTGTCCAGAACTACATGAAATATGTACGGCACAATAGTACTGATGCATATAAAATGATCCCACTAATGAATACGGAAGTCCACCTTAAAACATTCTGAGGACAGAGCGTAGAATAAAGTTGTGCTCCTGGCTTTGTGCATTAATGAAAGCTTTAGCTGTTTGAACCTAATCTTCATTTTCTGTGTTTCTGTGCGTTTCCTTACAGGCAGATGCGAAGCTGAGGGAGGAGGAGAAGAGAGCGCTTAGATATCTAGAAACACGTCGTGAATGTAACTCTGTTCAAGCAGTAAGTGTCTTTAAGAGGATCAGAAGTTCTTTTACTGTCCTGAACGTGTGTTTCCAAACTGTCCCATCATCTGCTCACGTTATATTCGGTGTACTGATGCAGAACATCATAACCGAGCCTGATTGTGCTCTACACATGACACCGAGGTAGGACAGATAAGATTATTGGCCTGTGGAGAAAGCTCATGTTAATTTCTTTGCCTTCATAATTTATGTATTTCTTGATGTATATAACCAACAATTTAGCAGATTTATATTTTTGATTCTATGATCTAAATCTGCACAATAATTGGTATCGATCCATCCAGCCATCCATTTTTTCTAACAGCTTATCCAGTTCACGGTCGAGGGAGGGCTTGAGCTCATCCCAGATGACTTTGGGCTAAAATTATTTCTACTAAGAGCTTCTCAAACTTTTGGGAGGCAGGGACTCCTCCTTACAGCGGGTAAAAAGTTTTCCAAGGGCTGCCTTAATCATGCTGATAAAACTCTTTACGCTTTAGCTTGGCTGACTTCATTTGCTACCACTCGAAGACACATAACCCGTTTTGGTCTTCCATCGTCATTCTCGATAAAGCCAAACTCAAACATAACCGTCGTCATACTTTCTAATTTTAGCTGGTTTGGCTTGGACTTAAAAATGTGTCCATTGGGCTAATTAGCTCGGGCCCGGGTGATGCGCATGTATTTATGTGCCACGACATGTTTCCAGTATATGGCTCGTGGAGCCCTTGGGGTCCAGGCACCCCAATTTGAGAGCCACTGTTATAATGAATAAATGAACATAGTGAATAAGCTAATTAAAGTTTATTCTGCTACCCGCCTGGATGCTGCAGGCATCGCTGCCAGAAAGAGAGACGGCTTTTTTATTTCTGGAGTTCACCTGAAATCAAACGGCTTTCATTTGACTTTAATTGAGTTGTGCTGTCGCTGTGTCGACACACCTGAAGGTAGAAGGAGATGCTTTTCTTCATGTTTAAGCTTGTTGAACAGGTGCTTTCATGAAGAAAGGGTTGCCATGGACCCTTTACCCCCTCAGGTTGAATTCTGACTGCAGTAAAAAGCACAGCTGGTGCTGACTCAGCTCCACCTGCTTTCACCATCTTGGTTGTCATGCTGGCTCTTTGCTTCAAACTTCTGTTGTTTGTCACATATTTTGTTGTGGAAAAATGGGGCCTGCTTGGGCTCCTAAATATGTTTTGCAGCCTGCGTATGCTTACTTTAACTCAAAACTTCTGACTGCAAGAAAAAAGAACTTGTTATATCTTGTACACCTACAACTTCACCTGTGAAAGTAACAAGTAGTTGTAACAAGACGATGTAACAACAACTTCACCTGTGAAGTCGTGAGGAAACAACCTCAGGTCAGCAGCTCATCACTGAACTTTCTCTCAGTCATCCGTTGGTTGTGTTGAACCCTCCCGTGTGTGCTTTCCTTCATCTGGCCTTTCTTTTAGGGTCACTTCCTGTGTTGGTTTCAGTTTAAACTGAATTTCGGGAGTCTTGTTAAATGTACGTGCTGCCTGTTAATTTATATCTCGTCCTAACGGCAGTCTGTATGTTCTGTGTATCCTCACAGCTGATGGAGTGTTGCGTGAACGCTCTGGTGACCTCGTTCAAAGAGACAATCCTCGCCGAATGTCCAGGAATGATCAAACGCAACGAGACAGTCAGTGAGTACCTCAGCAACGTCGCTGCTGAAGTTAACTCTGTTGATTCGCACTACAAAATATAACATCTGCTGAAAATAGGGGCTTTGAAATTCACTGCTGCATCAGTCAGGGTCGATTTAAAGATAGAAACTGCTTCTGCTCTGGTTTCCTGCATGTAGAGCTGTTTGTTCACCAACCACAGTCAGGGCTCGTGAGCATTTACGACACAAGTTGTTTTTTTAGTAGAAGGATTTATAATTAAATGAACAAGTTCAGCTTACTCTTTAAGTTGGCAAAAATCATTTTGAGGACTTGGATTATGGCAGTCCTCAGCCATCTGGGCTTTCCATGAGCCAGAAAGAGCAGGAAGTTTTAGTTTCATCCCACGTGCTTCTTGTCCAGTGTGTGACGCTGCTTTTCTCTGGAGCAGAGCTGCACCTCATGTTTTCACTGATGGACAAGGTTCCCAACGGGATCGAGCCCATGCTGAAAGACCTGGAGGAGCATATCATCAGTGCTGGACTAGCGGACATGGTGGCTGCTGCAGAGACTATCACTACTGTACGTGCACAAACACACACTTTAGCAACCACGGTCACTTGAGGAAGAATCCGTCAGTTCCTGCAGCTGTTCCCCTCAGAGTCGGCTCAATGTTTTTTATTTAATGAAGCCATGCAAATACATTTAACATAGTTACAGGTGTACGGGTGAAATCTGGCACTTTTAAAGTTGCTCTTTTTCTTTAAGTGCAAGGTTTGGACTCCTTTGTTGTACTCGGGAAACATTCATAGTATGAATAAACCTTGCATGGCTTCATTTAAGTGGGAACCTTTTTGAGATTTGAAATCATTTTTTGTATTTTTTATGGAATGAGCCGTTTGTTGGCATGTTTGAAAGATGAGAGATGAAAGTTAATATTCGAGGTCTGCTCTGACAGCATGCTCAGTCATTTTTAATGTGTGTTTGTTCAGGACTCTGAAAAGTATGTGGAGCAGCTGCTGACTTTGTTTAACCGCTTCAGTAAGCTGGTAAAGGAGGCTTTCCAGGATGACCCACGCTTCCTCACAGCAAGAGATAAGGTCTGTTTCATCTGACTTCCAAAGAAGTCACTCCTTTAAGTTCAAATATCCAGTGATATTTAAATGAGAATGTGCAGGCCTGTGTATTCCTCACAGGTCAGGGTCAGGTGCAGCGTTTGGGCTGGTATTTTGGTCAAAGTTCATATGAACAGGTTTCACTTTTACAGTGTCGGTGCTACAGCACAGCTTCAGAATAGCAGGAGGGTTCTACACGAATACTCCAGGTTCATAAGAACTTAACTGTAGCTTTATTTATCCAATGTAATCCACCGGGAAGAAAAGTGATCCGGTGTTCACACATGTGGATTCATCGTACTGTCACATCCTGATCTGTGCTGATTCGAGGAGGTTTCTGCTAAAATAAACAGAACGCCTTAAATCAGAGCAGCATGGACTACTGGAGGTGGGGGCTGCTGGGATCTCTGTTAGGGTTACAGTAGAAATCAAACATCATCACATGTTATTTTGTTCAGCTGTTATCTGGTTTATCAAGGACTTCGGGAATCTTTAGTCGGCTGTGCTTTTGCTAAAACTAGTGAAGAAATCAAATTGTTTCAATTTATTGTCTGAGATTGAAAGGCTTTAGGGCTCTTTGGTATTTTAAGAATTGTTTTTCTCATTGTGGCGGTATTTTCTGTTACCTCGCAGGCTTACAAAGCGGTCGTCAATGATGCCACAATCTTCAAACTGGAGCTGCCGATGAAACAGAAAGGGTATGTTTGGCCACTGTGGGTCTTAAATCGCTCGTCGCTGGTTAAAACTGGTCACAGTGTGTGTGTGTGTGTGCATAAATGTGTGAATGCATTTCCTTGTTGAATCAGAGTGGGAATGAAGACTCAGCCAGAGTCGAAGTGTCCGGAGCTGCTGGCAAACTACTGTGACATGCTGCTAAGGAAAACCCCACTCAGCAAGAAACTGACCTCAGAGGAAATTGAGCTCAAACTCAAAGAAGTGGTGAGTCTAATCTCAAAGCATATCAGTCCATTTATGACTTCCCCTTCTCTCGTTCTCTCGCAGATTCATGCTTTTCTCTCCCCTCCTTGCAGCTCTTGGTGCTGAAATACGTCCAGAACAAAGACGTGTTCATGCGTTACCACAAAGCTCATCTGACCAGGCGCCTCATCCTGGACATTTCGGCCGACAGCGAGATTGAAGAGAACATGGTGGAGTGGCTGAGAGTGAGTTCAGCTTTTCTTGAACTTTCAGCAGCAGAGTCATAAAATCGCTACTGATTTCAGCGACATATTAACATATGTATTAATATCGCATTAATATATTAATGCAGCAAAATTCAATTCAGTTTTATTTATACAGCACCAAATCACAACATCAGGCACTTTATATTGTAAGATAGACCCTACAATAATACATACAGACAAAACCCAACAAGCACAGGACCCCCTATGAGTGAGCACTTTGGCAACAGTGGGAAGGAAAAACTCCCTTTTAACAGGAAGAAACCCCCGACAGAACCAGGCTCAGGGAGGGGCGGGGCCATCTACTGCGACCGGTTGGGGTGAGAGAAGGAAGACAGGATAAAGACATGCTGTGGAAGAGAGACAGAGGTTAATAACAGATATGATTCAATGCAGAGAGGTCTGTTAATACATAGTGACTGAGGAAGAAATACTCAGAGCATCATGGGAATCTCCAGCAGCCTACACCTATTGCAGCATAACTAAGGAAGGATTCAGGGTCACCTGATCCAGCCCTAACTATATGCTTTAGTATAAATTAAAGTATTAAGCCAGTTTTAAGTGCTTTTATCATTTCTGGGTGTTTTGTAAGTGATTTATGTTTTTGTGCTTATGCAAAACATCTGCTCTTCCCAACGCAGAAAAACTGTTTACTTGATAGAGACGAAGGCTTTGGTTCCTTTAAATATTTTATCACATCATGCCATGTGATGTAAATCTGATGTTTAACAATCAAATTGCCCGTTTGTCTGATTTTATTGCTTCCTTTGTGTGTCTGTGTGTGGCTGTAGGAAGTGGGCATGCCTGCTGATTATGTGAACAAGCTTGCCAGGATGTTTCAGGACATCAAGGTGTCAGAGGACCTCAATCAGGTCTTCAAAGAGATGCACAAACACAACAAGCTGGCACTGCCAGGTAACACACACATGCACTGTAGCATACAGCGCAACTATTTTTATGCTAACATGCGTTAGCTATGACATATTATGTGTAGCATGGTGCCACACATGTCTCAAAGAGTTAAAGCACATTTTGATTATGACGTGTCACGTATTAAACCGAGCGTAAACGGTTTCTCTTGATTATTCACTTCATCTTTTCCTCTCCGTGCAGCGGACAGCGTGAACATTAAGATCCTGAACGCCGGCGCCTGGTCACGAAGCAGTGAGAAGGTTTTCGTCTCGCTGCCCACAGAGCTGGAGGACCTGATCCCCGAGGTGGAGGACTTCTACAAGAGGAATCACAGCGGTCGGAAGCTCCACTGGCATCACCTCATGTCCAACGGCATTGTGAGTGTGTGGAGTAAAGCAGAGTTCCTGCTGCCATGAAGAGCGGAAAACACGAATCTCCTGGAAACTAAAATCTGAATACATTTTTCTGTTTTTCTCATCTCTTCTTTGTTTATCTGTCATCCATACAAATTTGTTCAAATTTTTTCTGCATGTGCAAAAAACAGGGCATCTTCCTGTCTGTACATTTCAGAATAAAAGCCCTAGAAATATAGCAGTGTGGGAGATTCTGGGAATTTAAATTAAATTGAATTTTTGATTTTTACAAATTAGGAAATAGAAGATTATTTTTGTTTCTTAACACCTTCTGTTATGAAGAACGCCTGATATTTGGAGTTAAGGGAACTCTAAATCTTCAATTTTATTATCAAACAGGACTTTTGTAAGAAATTTGGATGCAAGAATGTCCATAAACGTAAATACATGAGAAAAGAACTGGATTAAATAAAAAGAACACAAGTTATTGACAATATCCTTTTTAAATGATACTCATGTGTGCACACCTGAGCATTTTCTCATGCTCGGGTGATACTCTCTCAGTTTTACTCATATTTTCATGAACTGTTCTCCTTCAGAAGTTTGTTATCTCTGTGATCTTTTTTCTGGTCACCTCTGTTTACACTTTCCAGTTTTCAAACAGGGATTCTTTGGGTCATGTGGAAAGTTAGAAAAAGAGTTTAACTTGACAGTCTTTTGGAAGTGCTGGTTGAGACTACTGGAGAGTTATTCTGGTGTATTTTTTAGCAACTTTTGTTTACAGCCTGCTGCTGCCCACCTTTCTCTTTAGAAGATATCGGGCTACCAAATCAGCACTGACACTCGCCTTTCCTTCCTTGTCCTTTGGTTCTGCTCTGATCAGATCACCTTTAAAAATGAAGTGGGGCAGTACGACCTGGAGGTGACGACGTTCCAGCTCGCCGTGCTGTTTGCCTGGAATCAGAGACCCAGAGAGCGAATCAGCTTCGAGAACCTCAAACTGGCCACAGAGCTGCCCGACGCAGAGCTACGCCGAACACTCTGGGTCAGACCGAATTTCTCCACTTACAAGTTAGACCAGAAATACAGAGGATTTAAAAGTTACTGAGGCTACATCAATTCTTCGTAACTTGTAGTAGAGATAACGCTGCCTGTATTGCAAAGCCATCCACCCAGTGGAGACGGCAGACGTTTAAACAACACTGTGATTTGGTTAAAACGTGAAAAGACTTCTAAAATAAAAGGGAAGATTGTGTCTAACTTTGTTTGAGAAGTGAAAGGACATCTATTCCTTCTCAACTTTTGGACAACAGGCAGGTTTGAACTTGGAGTCAGCTGTGCTCAGCGCTGTTAGCACTGCCTGTACTACATTTTTATTTTAAGACTCTTAAGATAAAAAATGTCTTTTGCAGCAGTGCCCCGGCAAAGGCATGCATCGGGTCAACCAGCAGTGGTTACATAGATTAATAATGCATGCAACAACACGGAAGAAGTTTAAACATGTAAGATCATTAATGAAAATACTACATGACATAAAAACATAGTAACAGGTAACTGTCACAGTTATATCTGGCCACAAGGGGGCAGTAATGTTCCAGCAGCCATGAAGTAACTGTCTGCAGGTCAGTTAAAATGAGCTTAATGCTGTTTAACGTGAGCAGCTCTTTTAGGTTTGGTTCATTTTGCAGCTAATTCCACAGAGAAAGAGCCTGTGAACACCTGTCTGTACGTCTGCAAGTAAGATGGGAACAGACCAAGGATGGACTTATTAAGCGTACACCAGTAACCGATTCTAGGGAAAGAAAAAAAACATCCTAGAATGAAACTTAGCAACAGTTATGCCCACAGAAAATCAGTGGTGATTAAATAAGAGTCAAGCTGTCCTTTAACACGCGGTATTTGTGGCTGATAATGATGATAAAGTTTAACTTCAGGTCTCCTGCTCTCTCCTCACTGTGCAGTCTCTGGTCGCCTTCCCAAAGCTGAAGAGGCAGGTGTTGTCTTACGACCCCCCGGTGAGCTCACCCAAAGACTTCACAGACGGCACGCTCTTCTACGTCAACCAGGAGTTCTCTCTCATGTAGGTCTTGGCATTTATACAAATCTTAACCTCGGGAAATGATGTGGACATGTTTAAATGTTTCATTGTTATTATAATCCACTCATGTACGGAGTAACTAAAGCTCTCCTCTATATCACCGCTGTGTAAGTCCCAATATTCAGATACTGATCTGTGTCTAAATGTCGACATTTTTCTCAGTAAAAACTCCAAAGTTCAGAAGCGGGGAAAGATCAATTTGATTGGCCGTCTGCAGCTGACCACAGAGCGAATGAGAGAAGAGGAGAATGAAGGAATCGTTCAGCTCAGAATACTGAGAACTCAGGTACGGGAACACTCCACCCGCACAGACTGTGTGCAGCCTTGATGGCTGCAGGACAGAGATGCTTCAACTCTGCTGCTTCTGTTCAGCTCATCTGGGGCATGAGCAGGTTACGGCTCGACAACAGTGCTGGGTGTTGCCGTTATCACATCACATTTTTCATTAATGTAAAGCACAGTCAGGCTTTACTAAATTCACTAATTTCATTACAGTTATACTGATGTCATTACCTGCATTACAAAAGTTGTTCAGTTATCTGGAAGCTGGGCAAGAAAAAAATGAAACAATTTCTTTTCTTCTTCATGTTTTTCACTTGCGCTACAATCAGCTGATTTCAGTTTGTATGTGGGAGGAAGAAAATTGTGACGTGGTACAGCTTTGAGGAGCGGAGATATAAACATTACTTTTATTTTTATTGAATGAAAAAAAACACAACTTCAGCAAACGTCTGCACAGCCAGCATGCTAACGCCAAGCTAGCCAGGAACCCGTTAAGATGTCGTTAAGGTTGAGTGCACTCTGACCTCAGCACTGCAGCCACAGCCTCCGTTTCTACCTGTTTCTACCTACCTTTGTATTCACACGTAAATACTACAAGAAAGTTCGTATGTGTGTCCTCAGTAGTTATCTATGTGGGATTTGTGTTTGTTTATGTGACAGTGCGTTTCAGGACATTTTACAGAGTAATGATAAGGCAATGTAACGGTAAATGTAAATGACTTCATCAGACAGTTAGCACGAGGGTCCATGTGGACGTCTTCATGCCTGTGTGCAGACGCGTCCGTAGAGAATTTACGCCACAATTCACCAAATGCCCATGTGCCTACGAGTCAGACTTCAAAGAGTTAACAACATGTTAATAACAGGAGCAGAGTATAATCCAGGCTTAAATCAGTACGACCCTCTAAATGAAATGTCGTCCATCCCTGGTCTACACAAAGTTCTAACATTTCCTTTTCTTTCCTCTCCAGGAGGCCATCATCCAAATCATGAAGATGAGGAAGCGGATCAGCAACGCCCAGCTGCAGACGGAGCTGGTGGAGATCCTGAAGAACATGTTTCTGCCTCAGAAAAAGATGATAAAAGAGCAGATCGAGTGGCTCATCGAGCACAAATACATAAAGAGGGACGAGGCGGACATCAACACCTTCATCTACATGGCCTAGGCAGCGAGGACGGAGTGTGTGTTTTGCTGTTTTTTACAACTGGCCTGCATCTGGCGCTTTAAAACCTGCGAGATGAGACAAACAAGGACTTAAAGGATGTGTTTGAAGAAGGAGAAGAGGGCTGGGAGCGCGCTGAAGGACACGGAAAAGCCTTTTTAACAAAAGTGTGGCTATTGTTTGTGTTTGTGAGACGCCAGTGTGTTACCGGAGTGTCATTTCAAGCCGTAGCGTTGAGTCATCTGGCCGTGTGTTTGTCCCTGCTGCCCTCTAGTGTCTGCTCAGAGGAGAGGAACGGCGGCGTGCGCCGTCCGCCAGCAGCTCAGAAGAAGAAAAAATAGTGATGTTATTGAATACTTCCTGCCTTACTTTCATCAGCAGTGGACTTCGGAGAAGGAGGTGGAGAAGGAGTGAGGGCAGAAAAGGAGAACAAAGCTGATATCAGTCCTTTGCTTTCACTTCATGCGACGGCTGCCATGTTAGCCGCAGCCATTTAGCATCCCTCCTGTCCTACACTGATCTAATACTCGAAGAGGGAATGCAGAGTGAAAGCTGCCATCGAGGAGGAGAGAGACGAGTTCAAACTACCGAGGAGTATTTTGCCAAATCGTGTGTGTGTGTTTGAGTGCATGGTGTGTATCTGATCTTTTAGTTGTGCGTGTTTGTATGTGTGTGTGCACTTTCAACAGCATGCTGCTCTATGATTTTTTTCCCCCTTCAGTGGAGAATCTGTCACACTTTGGTTGTTTCAGAAAGGGTTGGGAATTTAAATGCTGGTATTCAGATTTTTTTTTTGTGATCCCCTGACCGGGCTGCAGGTGACGTCATCTTTGCAGAGCCTCAAGAACAAAACGAGAAAGTGTAACTGCCCCAGTGTGTGAGGTCTGGACTGTGCACGCACTCAGATGGAAGTTCAGTGTCTAAATTTTTACCTCATTCATTCTAAGAACGTCTCTGTTTGGTTTTTTTGGGGGGGTTTTTTGCACAGTTAGAGAAAACCACACAGCTGCTCTGTTGCTTTTACTTAAGGTTTGAATGAGCTGCTGGTGTTTGGACCTTTTTCCAAAGCAGAACACTGTCTGAGTTTGTGTGATGTGTGCGCACCCTTTTGTTCTTCCTCTCTGCCTGAACTCTCAGAAACCTACAAATCACCTTCAGCCCATAAACCTTCATAGTGTTTGAAGCAAAGCAACAATTTAGTCCCTTTAAAGCAGCTCTCGCGATTCTGCAGCCATAACTTTAGTTCCGTTATCACCGGGACATAAAAACTATTTAGAATTGTCAGTTTGTCTCTGAATCACAAAAGCCTTTAAAAGATTGGTGACTGCCTCAAAACAAGCTGAACTTATTCTACACACTTGGTCCAGGGCAACAACACGATTGTTTCTCATCACACCAGAGCTCTGAATTTGCTCCATGCTAATGGAGTTGGAGTAAATGATGAAAAAGTGAAAACTTTTCCCTTTTTATTACCATAATGAGGACCTAGAAACACCTGCCACCACACAGTGAAGCTCCAAACGTTTAGGGGGAATTAAATAAAAAAAAATCACAGGATGTGTCAGGGGGTCGAACCAAAACAACAATTTTTAGAGATGAAAGTTGTAAAATTGCAAAGGAAAATATGCAGATGTGCTGTACAGCAGATCCATTACACTTTATATACTTATCATAAATCTGGCACAGGACGACACCTTAAAGAAAAAAGACAACTATGAACTTCCTGTTCAGGCTAATGTGCTATTTCCCTATGTTAAAGAATTCAGAGACCTTTGGGAGGTGACACCATGTTACATACAGTAAAGGCACAGAGGCTGTTTTATCATATTTAACCAAAATCTTAGCATTTTCCATACAATCTATAAACATTTGATAAGCTTATACTCACATAAGGCCAACTTAAATTTAGGAAATGTGTTGACGATAAACAATAATCCAGTGTCTGATTGGTGCAGGGCACCAATCCACTAAACGGGAAACAACCCTCTAAAAGTAACGAGTTTTTCTTCTGCTCTTTCTCACCTGATTGTCATTTGGTGCTGTAGCCTCTGCAACATCTTCAAAATGAGTGTGAAAATGTATTTTGTCAGCTGACCGGTCAGTGAATGCGAGATCAGCTGCAGTGAATTATACAGAATAAAAAGCTGCCGAGGTAAATATGGAGAACCAATCAGTGCCCCCCACCCCTCACAATCAGCAGATGTTGTTTCTGTAAAATTACTTTAGGGTATTTAATGAAGACGTGTCAAACTTTACATCACACTATGTCTGCAACTCACTTAGGGGCGAGTTGCAGACCCTTAAAGTACACAGAGTTGAGTGGAAGATTGAACTTTTTAATTTATTCATTTCCAGCATTTTTCAGCCCTCATAACTCCAGATTAACTTCACTCCACGTGTCATCACCTTAACAGAGTTTTAGTTTTTTCCATGATTTTTGGACACGGCATAATAATGTAAATAATGTGTTAGTCCCCGCAGTGAAATTACTCCTCTGCATTTTAATGTCTATAATTCTGAGTAACAGAACCAGGTTTTGGTATCCTGGAGAAAAAGTGGGTTTTGGGTAAACCTTCAGTAGTCATCTCACCATGAGGGATAGGTGGAGGATCAGACCATGTTATGGCATGAAAAGGTTTCATTTTTAGCTGTTTTGATGCCAAGCTCACCTTCCAGAGGGGATCCCTTCATATTAAAAAAACGTGGCTGATTTTTATCAGTTGCACTGGGAATCTTTTTGCTCTTGTTGAACTGAGAATCAAATCCTGTGAGCAGTGAGGAAAAAGAAAGACAACTGTGAATGTGTGGGGTTGTTTTTTGTTTGTTTGTTTTTTAATATTTATTCTGTATTTATGAGGAATGTTACTTTTTGTCCATTTTTTTTCTTGCCTTGTTTTTGCAAACACGTCTGTTGCCGTTGCAGTACTGACTTAAACAGTACTGACTTAAACAGTACTGACTTACTGACGCTCTCTCCTCTGTTTCAGCCTGCAAAAAAAAACTGTTAGTCTAATTTATTTCACTTTCCACATAAAGATTTATCTGCAATTTTGTCAAAATGCTGAAGCCGCTTTTAAGTTTGTTACTGCGACACATTGATGTTGAGAATAATCCATTTTACACACTGACGTGCAAAAAAAAAACATTTTAAAAAACGCTGGAGTTTTCGGATTATTGTGAACTCTTCTGAATGCAGTGAGGCCGTCTGCCTCAGGTTTCACCTGAGATGAAACTAACTCCACATGTCAGTCACATTATATGCAGTTTTATTCTCTATGCACAGGCCTGGCTCACTTAGTTGTTGTTTTTTGTTTGTTTTTTGCAGATGATACCCTGTTGTATTTTTAAACACATTTGAGGACACTGAGGGACTTTGATGAGTTCTTTCTTTGTGTGATCTGTGAGGAAAAACACTCATTTAATTATATTCAGTCTCATCTGTCTCTGTGTTAGTCAGTAGGGGGTTTCCTCCTCTGGTTTTCTGAAGAGAAAAATCTATCCCAAAACTCTTAAGTCTCAGTGCTGGGCTGCTTTATTCTTATTTTCTGTCAGAGTTGAGGAGTTAAACAGTTAAACCTGCAGTAATCTGTCACACAAAGCACAGAGACGTACAGCAGAACTGGCACAAAATCCCAAATATGGTGCACCATCTAACCTCTTATTCCGCTTGTTCCGGTGGTTTTAGAGGTTTGGTTTGCCTATAAAGATCTAAAAAAGAAGAATTGCTCCACAACTGTCAGGTCAGCATGCATGATCCCCGTCTCTTAGGATAGTTAAAACCTCTGAGAATCTAATCTGTGTGTCTCGTACTGTGCATGTGTTAAGCTGCTTTACCCTGCTTACAGGTTATCTGCAACCTGCTTTGCAACCCACCAATACTCAATCTCCTTTTTTTGTTTTTAAACTGCTATTTCAGATTTATTCAGTTTCAGATCCACAGTCATAGGTGACATCACTAGCTGGGTTTATTTATAGGCGTAAATCCTCAAATGCACATACAGCTAACTGGATGAAATGGATCAATAACTGGACCCAGCACACTAAATATTTTTGGGGTGGGTCCTTCCTTTGTTTATTGTTTCTGATAAGCATCTTTTTCTGGTTGAGTTTTAACTTCTGGCCTCAAGGTGTACTGTGTCGTTTTGATTGAAGAAGTTCCAACAATCACAGAAACTTGGTCTGAAAATCATTTTTTTGATGGTTGGTACTCAGAAATGATAACTTGTGAAAAACTAAGAAATTCAAGTTTGTTAATCTGTAGTTGGAGGGGGGAAATGTCACCAGTGAGATTACAGAAGGGCATCAAGGTACAAAGCTGGATTTGTACTTACAAACCTCCAAAAATGTTTCAGGCACTGAAACAAAACTTTCAGCTTTGAATCTGCCATTTAATTATTTTTTTCTCTTTTGTTTTTCTCAGACTTCACCTCATTGTTGATAGAAATTATCCTACTGATGCTGAGCTCATAGTGGTTGTCTTCAAAGTTTAAGACTGAAATAACAACCATCCATCCATTTTCTTCTGTTTATCCTTGTCAGGGTCACAGGGTAACGCACATAAGTGCTCTATCCTGTGACCCCAGCTTGATTCATTCATATAAGCACTTTTATTCTGTGCTTTCTTAAGCATAGTTTTCATTCATCATCCCATGGATGTATTGGAGAGTAGCTTGGGGTTGGTATCCTGCCCAAGGATATTTGGTATCTAGACTGGAGCAGCCAGGGAACCAACAACTTTACAATTATAAGATGACCTGCTCTACTTCCTGACATACAAATCTAAATCTTCTAAATTTAGCTCAGGCACTCGTGAATCCAGATGATGTTTGTAATCATCTCACTTGTTCTGAAGTTTATAAGTTTTAACTCATAATGAGAGGTATGTGCAACAACCAATCCGTCAGATGTATTTGTGGCTTCCAGAGGGTGGGTTACTGTAACTCTGATGTCCTTTCTATTCAGCCCTCACAGAAAATTGTACAAATCCTTTTTGGTGTTTGTGGGTTTTTGTCCTGTTAATTTTTGACATCAGCTTTATTTGTTAATGTTTGCAAGGTTTGCTGCTATAGTAACAACAACAGACGAGCTCAGTCTCACTCACTCTTTGCTTACTTGACAACTTTGGGTTTGAATTCAAAGAAAGTTAAGGCATCCTTCCCTGTGTGGCCACACTTTGAGAAATTTAGAATTCGTTTTCTAATCACTTTAATGTTTTTTGTTTAATATGTCAGTTATGTAGAACTGAACACCTCCAGTTTAACTGAATTTCCATCAGCTTCAGCTCTGCTTTGTATTAAGTGCTAGTTTTCAACTATTACCATGTAAACAGACTGAACTCAGAGGGTAAGCATACCTGTTGCCTGTCAGACTACGGGCTGAACCCGAGCCTCACTTGATTTGTTTATACAGGCTGACAAACTTGAATTTCTTCAGAGGTTTTTCAGTTTCACTGCATCATTTCACAAGCTGTCAGTCTTCAATAAAGGGAACCTTTTATTCTTCTCACTGTATGTCATATACATGTACTGTTAGAAGCTATTTTACTGGCTAAAATGACAGAGTAGTGTCATTTATGACCCCATTATTTAGCTTAAGGTTTCTCTCCTGATCTTTTAGGAGACTATAAACTTTGCATCAGTACCAGATATTATAATAGAAACTCATGAAATGGACAGACTTGTTTTAAATGGCTCTGTCTGTGTTTATCGTACCTATACTGTTTCCCTATCTATGACGTATTCTAAGATATGTCTTAGAACTGAAGAAGCTTCTCTGATGAGGGGTGAAACATCTTCAAGAAAATTTAAAAAAAAATCCAAGCTCCTTAGAGTACCATGACCTGGATAACTGGGAACCTACACAGACATTTTATAATATTCTTAGTCATTTGTTTATTCATTAGTTTTTGATCATTTTTGTGCAAAAAGGAGTCGACTGGACTCATTCCTACATCAGCTGAGCTGTCGGTTTGGGCATTAAATGTCTGTCTCAGGGCTTCTGCAGCAGTAAATCTTTGCATTATAGCTGTGTTAGCCATGGTTCACTACAAAACATCACAATGATTCATTCCCACTTTTAAGCACAACACAGGGATTAGAAATGGGAATTTACCCGTAATGTCTAAAAACATAAATATATTTCCTCACAACTTTCCATGATCTTTACCACACACGTGGGCAAATTATCTTACAGAAAACTATGAAAGGTTTTCAAAGAAGGAAACTGACAAATTGTTGGGGAAACATTTTTAAGATAAAAAAAAAACACAGCAGTAAATATAAGTATTTAGTTGAGGTCATAAAAATTGGATGGAAGCAGATTGTTTTGAGTATGAAGGGAAAGACTGAACGAAAAAAAAATAAGAATGATTTCGATCTTTCAGTCATGCAAAGCTACTCTATCAGAACCCAATCATCAAAATATGGAAATAAGCATAAGTGGACGCCTTTAAACTTCCGTAACTTCCTAAGCTAATTCACTCTCTCCAAAAACAAGCTGTTCAGAATGTGAAATTTAAATAAAGAATCCCATCATTTCAGTTTGTATCTTTATTTAAACAAAAACAATACAAAGACAACATATCAAATCTTTTTTAATAAACCTTAGATTTTATTTCAGCAACATGTTCCACAAAAGTCAAACCCAACTGCAGAAACATCCCACAGCTCGTTAAATGTATTAATGACATGATTCCCAAAGAAAATGAGGGTTTAAAAAGTAAATATGAGGAAGCTTTCACCACTGTGAAAGGATGTGTGAGCAGAGTTTCAAAGTTTTTCTCAATGTAAAATTTCTTTTTCCAACTAAAAACAAGGGTGTCACCACCTGTATGATCTCATTTTATGCCCCTCCCCTTTTTTAAAGATATATTGTCTGATTTTTGCATTTTACTCTCGTTTGAAACATTTGGATTAACCACAGCTGAAGTTAAAAGACTGTGAGTGATTCTTTTCTTTTTCTTTTGGTTGTCTCATGTGAAAACCCGGCCTGCACTGCACAGAAGTCAGATTTTACTGTAGCCTTGTGTGACGACAACACTTGAACTAAACACAATCAGCCACAGCCTGAAAACCAGCTGAATGTTTGCTATGACATCAAGGAAGGACTTTAAAAGTGTGTGTTGGCAATAAAAGAAAAAAATCAAAGTGGGATGAGAGTGCTTCTTTTGAGTACTGCTTTGTTTTTGCTTGTTTTAAATATTTTTTTTAAAGTTGAACAATTTATTTACTGGCAAAATAAAGACAAATGTTTTCTTCCTACTTCCAGTTGCTGTAAAATTTAATGCATTTAAAGAAATTACTTGAGCTTATTGCTTAAAAAAAACCCTAAATGACCTCAATTTAACACGAGTGGGTTATACTCGGGTGTTTATTTATCAAGAAGATAAATTACAAGGACTTGATGTAGTTTGCAGACTTATTCTGCAGTTCAATTTCCTGGAGGAACCCACCCGAGGGATTAATAAAGTTTCATCTAATCTAATCTTACTTCATATTAAGTTCATTAAGAAAATGGTAAATAAACAAATGCAATGTCACAGTGAATGACCTCGATTGTTTTATTTAAGTTTTTTTTTTTAAATAAATCTACAAGAATTTATGCTGAATATTTACATTTTAAGAGATGGTGTATGGGCCACAATCATGTGCTCCATACACCACACAGTTACAGGAACACTGGGTTTATTAATGTTCCAACAACCCTCAGCATAAACACTAACTCTGAGTTAATAAACACTACACAAGTCTCAGGTCAAATGGTCTTTTGCTTACTAAACCTTTAAAAACAAAGACTAGAGACCAGCAGGGGGTCATATAATGACACCTGTTATATGCATATGTTTCTACTAAACTATATTTTGCACGTAGATTATACTTTTTATCCATAACATTTATTTTTAAACTTGTTATTTTGCAGATACATTGTGTTATTAAAGGACAAGCTCTCACTGCAGGATTATCTGTGGATCAGCTGCCTCTATCCTGTCCATCCTGCTCACTCCCAACAAACATCATCAACGCCTCTGTCTTTGGCCTCACGTCCTGTCTCCAAACCATACATCACAGCAGGTTATGAGAGCTTCTCTTTTACTCTCCCTATCACTACCTTTCTGTCATAAATCACGTCACCCCTGACACCCGTCTACACCCAGTGCATCTAGCCTGCATCTCCTCTCCACATCTCCTGTGCACTGTCCATGACAGAGATTTTTTTTTTCATTTTACTTTTTTATTTGTAATTTCACTAGAATTAACCTAACCTCAATGTTTCGTTTTAGTTAACTAGAATAACCTTGCTTGTCGTTAACTCAGAGTGATGGACGAGTTTTTGAACTGTGAACAGCTAAAATTAAATAAAAAGTTCAGAGGAAACTCTATTTTAGAAAAATAGCTGACAGAGATTTTACAGTTTTGTATAAATGTTAAAAAATATTTTAAACTTTATTACACCCTGCCTCTCGCCCTATGACAGCTGGGATGAATGGATGCATGGACATGAGTACATGTGAGCATGTGAGCCAAAAATAAGGGACTATTTCTTTAAGAACTAAAACGATATATTCGGCTCTTCGGGGTGTACATTACAACCATCAGATGTTGTCGTTTGGATAACTGTTGTCTAAGACCATATATCCTTCTTGTAAATGAGGTTAAATGTCGTGTTTTATAAACATCCATTCTTAAAAAAGAGCGTTCGCGCACATTTCTCTGAAGAGGGAAACGCTAATTTCGTATTGCACCCCCATAAAGCGGTGGTATCGTCCACTGTCGCGGAAACGCCGGCTCCAGCCAAAACTCCGGCATAAGAGAAGCAGGTGGAACTGAGACAGTAGTCTGAGTGTGACTGAAAGTGGTAAGTGTTTAAAACAGTGCCCTATCAATTACCAGGTGTTGCCCCAGGCATCTGTCTTATATCTGCGTCTAATTATGATGCGAGTGATTTAAAGACTTTTGATGCGTGTTTGGACACATTAGCAGACGTTAGCAGAGCAGCTCTGAAACCCGCGGTGCGCCACTAATGTTAGCTAGCAAACAAAAGAGGTTCCCTGTGAGTCAAGTCTGACTATCTGAAGAAAATGAAGGAGATAAATGTGGAATTTGTAATACGAATCATGTTTTTGTAACATTTAAGTGGCGACAAAATGCGACATCCTGGTACGAAGTCTATTAGTCATTCTAGCCTGGTTAGCTAACGTTAGCATCAAAGGCGGAGACCCGCAGCAGTTTGGATTTTAGCCCAAAGTTTAAAGTTTAACAGAGTCCAGACCCTTAACAGACTTTTTATTCAATATGTACCTGTGTCTTGTGCTTTAGGTGTGTGTGGTGGAGGAATGGTGACGTGTGTTTCCCACAGAGCTTTTTAAACTGCTTCTGCAGCAGTGCTGTCGTTACCATGTTTATTTTTAACAGTTCAAACGCTGGAAAAAGTTCGCGTTTAACGTCGCAGACACTGCAGCTGCGCGACAGTTACGTTTGGTGGTTTTTGTTGAAATGCAAACGTGACAACGCCTGTTTTCTTCCGAGCAGTGTCCTCGTTTTTCTGGTGAGCTTTTATATCAAGTCTGAACACGAAAACGGAAATTTAGTGTGATGAGGCAGTCCCTGTTTGCTCCTTCCTTTTAACCAGCTATGCAGGCCGAACCGAACAAAAACAGTGTTTCCGAACTGGCCCATTTCAATCTCCAACAATGGCGTCACCATTCATTTTAACAGTACTCAAGTGAATTTTGTGCATTTATGAATCGTACTTGTGACAGCTGCTGCGATGGCACACTCTGCCTCTCCACACATCTCCAGGAATCACTTGAATGATCCTAATGGGGAGTAAAGTCACAGAATTCATTGTTGTGTATGTGTCTGGGATCATGTCAACATGGGATCATGTCTACATATGATCCTAAACTTCCAATGGGTCCTATACTTAAAGGCTGTGGTTCCTCAGTGCTGCCCTGAGACAAGTCAAGGTGTCCCCTGAGATTTATGCATCAACGAAACATTGTAACTGCACAAAGTACTAAATGTCATTTCAGTGGACCTCATTGGCCTGATTGATAGTGAGGAGATATAATTGAGCAGCTGGACTTGTGATGTCAGCAGCCTTCAGCCCGAGTTAATCTGTTAATGCTAATATAGTGAGCTAATGAGGGCCTTGGAAACTAAACATCCTTTTATAGAGAGACTTCACCTGCTTTAAAAGGGTAGAAGAGAGCTGCGTCTGAACCAGAGGCAGCAGGAATCTACACTACATAAACAAAATTTCTAGGCTGCCCACATAATACACCCACAGGAGCTGCTCTGCCATAGAAACCCATGCCATGAAGCTCCCAGTGTACAGTTTACATGCTGATCTTAATGTCAGAGGTTTTGAGGTCTGCAGTTACTGAGTCAGCAGAACATATGTGCTTTACACCTCAGCACGCAGCGATCGCACTCTAACTTTACATGATCTACCACTTCGTGGATTAATGATTCCTGAACACGTCCACTTTACAATAATACAGCTGACTGCGGAATATCTAAAAGGGAAGAAATTTCACCCACTGACCTGTTGCAACAGTGGCATCCTGTTTCAGTAGTACTCAATTTCTGTTAATTCTTTAGAACGACCCATTCTTTCACAAGTCATTCTAAAGGCTGACTGCATGGCTGGGTGCTTGATTTTATACACCTGTGGCTATGGAACTAAAAACACCTGAATTCAAAGACTAAGAGGTGTGTCCCCATATTTTTGACCATACAATGTATGTGTTCTTGTGTGATAAGAGGATTGATGCAAGTCATACTTTAGTGGTGCTCATTGTAGTTCTTAAAATCAGCTAACATTGCAATCAAAAGAAGTGATGATATTTGAAATGAGAGAGTATGACATGGCATTCTGCACATATGAAGACAGCCAAGTCTTAATTTTTGGTTTGCTGTTTGTTTTGCTTTGGCACAAAGGCTTAAAATCACAGCTCTAAAGGCAGAAATCGGTTCTTTCCTTGAATGTCTGAACGTTCAGTTGACCGTAAGGCCAGGAGGGCAACTGCAATGAAACTTCAATTAACAACGACGCACAGATATGATCCGAATGCCTTGGCTTTGGAAATCTGCTGATACAAAGTACTCACGTCATGCCAGTGTTAAATAAATTTTCTTCAATCTTCATTTAAATCTTGAAAGTAGTTGTAAAAAAAAAAAATAATAATAATTCTAGTGTTGTTATTTTGATAATTTCATAAATATCTTGAAAATGACTCAAATTCATATTAGCAGAATGAGAGAACACCACACAAATCCAAATATTTTAGAGACTTCAAGCATCTATCATTCTGAATGAACCTGAGCTGCGCTCCTGAGACTCCACATTCATAGTCACAGTATCAGATATTTACCCTAAACCTTTCTGGTTTACAGACACTATAAAAAAAATTTGGATCTCATCTGAGGTCTTTGACCTATGATCAGATTTTTCCTCTTGGTTTCAAAGTGATGGTGGTGTTAGTAATGCCTCGCATGTGTTTTGGCCGATGCCTTCGGTCTTCCTTGGCTGACGTTCCCTGAATGATGCTGAGTCAGTGCTTGTGTGCTTTCTCGTAGGAAAAGTCCTGGCAAACATCGGCACGCTGTCAGAAACGCTGGACAAGCTTGTGAGTATTTGTGTTGATTTGTGTGTAGCAGACAACGCCGGTGTAGTCCGGCACGTTTACAGTGATAATACTGCTGGACTTTAGCGTACAGCATCCATCAGCTTATCAGGTGCTGTGCAGAGACTTTTTTTGTTTTTTGTTTTTTTTAACCAGTTTTCTGTTTTATTCCAGCATTGCTTAGATTTGAATGGACAAGGCAGGCAGAAGTATACAGGTACAACCTCTCACACATCTCATATATATCTGTGTGCTGTTGTTTTTTATTATTATTTTTTAATCATAAAAACGTTTCACACCATGAATTTATCAGTTTACTTCTATTTTAACAGGGAAGGGTAATAGAAAGATGTGTAGAAATAGAAGTATGTTTTTAAAAAACACAGGCGTTGATTTTTATTAAATGTTTTCACACCTACCGCTGCAGAAGGCAGCTGCTTAAAGCCCAAAGATGTACTGATTTGCTACTGACGTTAAACTAATGAAAGAACACAGAACTTAATCTAATCTTGGGTCAAAAATCTGGACTTTTAACTGATTGTTACACTGCGTCAGTGCTTCTCCAATACTTGTTCCATAATTGGACGTCTCATTTCAACAGTTACCCTTTCAGATAATTCAGTAATCAAAGTGTTTTGAATGTTTTGAATGTTAGAATACCCATCATAGATGGAGGAAATGTTTTGGGTATGAAGCATAAAAAGTAAAGCATTTCTGTAAATGTACTTGAGCTGTTGTAGCTGCTAAGATGGCTCAGTCACTCCAGGGTCAAACGGATGTTTGACTGTTGTCTTTGCTCTGTAAATGTAGCCCAGCTAGTGAAGCCCAGTAAAGGTGCCGTGATGCCTGTGAAGAAGAGGAAGCTGCCTGATGCAGATGATCATGAGCAGAACTGTAAAATTACAAGGTAAATAGATCTATCTGCTCACACTGAGGGTGTCCTGTGTCTGCACCGCTAACCTTTGTCTTCTATCCATCCTATGTGCTTCTTGAACCTTTATTGATTACCTTGTGAGTTCGATGCTCTCTCAGCCGGGTGTAGGCTTTCTGAGCCCTTCACCTTCTCCTCTTCTTCTTCATTGTGTATTAAGAGTGTAGATGAATGCTCATGCTGCAGTCACAGTGAGGATGTAGCCAAAACGCATATCTTCACACATGTTGTGAGTTATGCTCCTTACTAATCGAGGCACTCAGCACATACTTGTCATCTTAATCAGCACTGCCTCAGTCTTCAGGACTGTAGGAGAGTATCTAAAGTGCCACTTTATTAGGTACCTTTGCTTTATTCTTGGATATAAATGAGGTGGATAATCCATCAGTGCCTCAGCTCTGTACATCATAAATGTCCGTGCAGACTTAATTTCAGGTTTTTAATGAAGTATGGTGACAGTTTGAGTCTCATGTGAATAATCACCCGAGCCATTTGCATACAGCAGCATCTGATCTGACTTGGTAGCAGTTGATTCTAAACTGGCTGACTGGATACACCAATGTTCTTGGAGAACATCCAGCTGTGAGGCAGCTGTGGTAACCACTGAGCCACCGTGCTGCCATTAATCTGCAGGAAATACTGACAGGCTGTTTTCTGAGCCACTTTACCCTGTTCAGAGTCAGGGGTGCTGGAGCCTATCCCAGCTCTCACAGGGTGAAATCCTTTGTTGTATTTTTGCTTTGACTGTAGTCCAGCTGTTGTATAGCTGCCATGTAACAACCTCCTGAAGTTATGGCTGCACATTTATCTTTAAAATGTTTGGTCTGTGCTGAAGTTTTACCCGACCTCTGATCCGCGGTCCGAGGTCAATCAACACTGACAAGCCCTTTTCCAGTAAGAAGTGCCTGGCCTGGTTCCACAAGTACGCTGCCCCCGACAAGGTGTTCGGCCCAGAGGCCATGGAGAAGTTCTGTGAGGACATCGGCGTGGAACCAGAGAATGTAAGTCAGCAGCTTGACTCTTAGTCACTCTGCATGTCCCTTACCTGATGAACTCCTGACCATCAGGAGTCATAGGGTAACACTCAGAAAAGAGACTGAGGCACTCATGATGTGAGAATGTTTTATGGAGCTTTATTTTAGCAACAAATGTTTTTTTTTTCTGTGAAAAATAAAGATGGTAGGAAACAAGCTTTCTTACACTTGTTTGAATCTCCTTTCTTTCCTGCAGATTATCATGTTAGTTTTAGCGTGGCGTCTAGAAGCAGCAAACATGGGGTACTTCACAAAAGACGAGTGGCTCAGGGGAATGACGATATTACAGTAAGAAATCTTATTCTTTCAGTTTATTTGTGGTTGAGGTTACAAATACGCTTAAATGTGTTTTCGTCTACATGCAGGTGTGACTGCACAGAGAGATTACAAAGTAAACTTGATTACCTGCGCAGTGAGCTCAACGATGCTGCGACCTTTAAAAATATCTACAGATACGCCTTTGACTTTGCCAGAGTGAGTCTATTTATTTTTTGTTATTATTTAGAAGTTAAGCCTGTAAAAATCCTTGAACATCATTTTGTAATATGTCTGCAGTGTTTGTGCTCCTGACTTTGTGATTGTTATGAGGAAAAGTTGGAATAAAAATAATAATTTAAAAGCGCCAAATTACCACAAAATAGTTCCCTATGGGGTGACCATGTTTTAACCGGGAGGAGCAGATGCTACATTTAAACTCTGAGCTTCTGAAAAGATTTGGTGTGGTGACCATAAATGAAGCTTAACTTCACCAACACAGGCTTTCAGATCAAGTCTCTGAATTCTGACTCGGAGCTTGATGCAGTGAATCTCCCTGCTGATGCAGCTGGATTTTTTTTATTTTTTTATTTTTTTAATAACCATAAATGAGGGAGTGTCTTTTCAATTTCAGTGCAGCAACCGTGCAGTTAGGTTTAACTGTTATGACTAATGGGATTGTGGGGGAAACACTCATCAGCGCATTCATGGGATCATAAGAGATATGAACTGCTGCACTTATTACTGAGCTCACTCACTGAGTTGCTTCTGTCCTCAGGATAAGAACCAGAGGAGTTTGGACATGGACACGGCAAAATTAATGCTGGCTCTGCTGCTGGGAAGGTCATGGCCGCTCTTCCCAGTCTTCAGCCAGTTCCTGGAGGTAAATCTCATTGCTCTGATAAAGGAGATGTGAAATCAGCTCATCTTCAAACAGCTCTTCACTCCTCTCTCTGGGTTGTTTCCTCACTGTCTCCCTCCCATTAATGTCTCCCACAGCAGTCCAAGTACAAGGGATTGAATAAAGACCAGTGGTATAATGTTCTGGAGTTCAGCCGGACCATCAACCCAGACCTCAGTAACTACGATGAGGATGGAGCTTGTGAGTACCACTTGTACTAGGAAAATAGTGCAGGCCTCTCTCACAGAGCTGCTTCAAGGCGGGAATATAAACCTGTATGAAATGTCCAAACATGGAATAGGATGTGTTGGCCAGTTATCGCCCCACCTGGACCATCCAGGGCTTTGGTTTGGGAATGGCCGCTGTCGCACAGTTTGTCATAATACACAAGAACACATCTGGATCGGTTCACACTCTTAGGACAGAAGGATGAGCATGTTATAATTCTGGGGGGTCTTCCGTGATGGCTCACTCATTTCTGTGAAAGGAAATCTAACATCTGTCCATCACTTGTAGTCCAAAATGCCACAGCAGTCCTGATGTTAATAAATTTACACCAGCTTCCCTCCATTTTTGTATTGATTTTAAGATTCTTTTATTTTCTAAGTTTTAAATGGCCAGCTGTTTAAGCAAACTTTTCAACATGTATAACTGCAAAAGAATGTTAAACAAGCATTTCAGTTTTAAACCTTAAAATGGCTTCATGTCTTCACTGAACAGAAATAACGTGCAGGCGCACCTTTGTCTATATTTACGGGTTTATTTGTTTTTTGCAGGGCCGGTGCTTCTAGACGAGTTCGTGGAATGGCGAAGAAGTTGGTCAGCTTCATAGCATTAACAGCCACAAAAACAAAAGGATGAAGAGGGAGAAAACTGAGAACCCGGGAAGGAGTCTGGAAAAAGGTTTCATCCACACATACACAGAAATATGGAGTACAACCTCGTCCCTGTGGACCTTCGAATCCCGTTAGAGGCGCCTGTGCACCATCGTCCAAATGCTAAGAGGCCTTCCTCCTGCTGAGAAGACTTTTTTTTTTTTGTTATTATTGTTATAGTGTTAATTTCAAGAAAAGAAACTGTCAGAGGGAAAATGAACTGAGAAGAGCTGTGGAATTTATGTTAAATGTTATGTTTTTTTTTTGTTTTTTTTCCCCCCCATTTTTGTGTCTTGTTTATAGAAGTTTTGACAGTAATAAAAAGGAAATGGAAATTCATCAAGCTGCAGAGCCCAGGTTTCATTCGCCACTCCTGCACCGTGTTAACACACTAAGGCATGCAGAAACTGGTCAGCCTGAAGAAATTTACCATTTCTTTTTTAGGTGTCAGTCCAGCAACCCCTGAGCAGATACAGCAGTTATCCCTTTACCTCCTAACACTTCTTATTAGGCCACATCCTGCCAGATAACCAGCACCTAACCTGCTAGAAGCAAGTCTCACCACTCTACAGCTATCCTGAAACCCCTCTGGGCAGTTAATTTAGTGAATGCTTTAAAAAAAACAAAAAAAAACAAACAACAACTTTAAAGGTACTTTCTAAAATTACCAGCTGCAAATGTCAACTAAAACTGTGACCAGCAGGGGGAGTTGTTTCCCCAGAGCTCATAATGTTTTACATTTCTTCTTGGACTTCTCCACATTTACTCATGAGACTCTTTCACCGCTGTAAATAAGAATATATTCTTGGCTTGTTAACGCTTACTGTTCATGTTGTATGCCTTGCACGGTATAATCTGGGCCCTACAACAAATTTTGAACTGCACATCAATTTAGAATGTGTAAACCAGCGGTACCCAACCCCCGGGTCCGTGAGTCGTTTGGTACCGGGGTTGTTGGGCTCGGGTGTGAAATTAATGGTTTTCAGGGTTTTTATTGTTAACTCTGTTTCCCTGGGTTTTTTCCCATGTTGTAGTTTTGTCTTATTTTGAAAGAAATATTTACGCGTTACCGTAGCGACCAGAGAGCGTTAAGGGGCAAAGAGGAGGATGTTACTCTCAATGTTGTTGGTGCATTTTAGGAGGATGCTGCTAATAAAATTGCAAAATTACACAGTTAATTTGCGTTTATTATTATATTTACAAAATAACAGTTTTTGTCTTGATCGTATCATTTTATTTGTTGTATTTATCCGCGACACCTTAAAGGCCGGTCTGTGAAAATATTGTCTGACATTTAACCGGTCTGTGGCGCTAAAAAGGTCGGGGACTGCTGGAGTAAACGGCCTGCCTTAATAAGTGGAAGATTAATCCTTAATTAAGAGAGCAGGGAGAGTCAACTTATTTCCCCCCCAAACACAAACTAAATTTACTATCTGACATCATGTCCTGTTTTATACATGAAAGCATAATATCATAATGATTTAATCATTACAAGTAGCGAGGACATTCTCAGAAGCGGCAAGTAATTTACTCACATTTCATCCATACACAAGTCACAGTTTAACTGCTCACACTTAAAGGACTTCATCTACCTCACATACATGACCAGTTAACCTAACATGGATGTCTTTAAACCAGGCCGTGCTCTGAGGTAACAGCGTTAACCTCCATTCACGCCCATGCTGCCCTATTTCAGGTGTTATGCCTGCACCTAGTGACCTCTGGTCCATATGATCTGTCTTATGCTGTTTTACTTTTTCATAGTTTAGAGATTTGCCCCCATTGTCCTTCAAAAACCATCAGGTGTCAGTCTCTGCAGAAACCTGGGTGATGGGAACAAGCATTAGTGCAGGAAGGGTTCTCATTAGTTTCAGATGTCACCACAGTCCCAATAAAAATGCACACAGACATGGCACGTACCACTTCAGTTTCAAGATTCCTTAAAATACCTATTTTCCTTGACTTGACCCAGGCTGGTGGATCTAAACTTCATCTGAACAGATACACCCGTATGACGGCGTACAAGTTAAAATCGTTGACCCGAGCCATGTGTAAGATTAACTTACTTGTTGTGTCACCTTGTGGTACAAAGTGGTATTACAAAAGTGAAGCTTAGTTCAGCTTCAGCTGTAATCTCATCAGCAGGATGCAGAGATGATCCAGGATGAAGTCATAGCATTACTTTGATGATGGCTTTAGCTTTTTTAAATTTATGCAAAAATTGATTCCCAGATATAAAAAGTGCGTGTGCAGATTCACCCGTCAGACCTCATAAAAATACAGTGTCCAGTCTTAGGGTATGTATACATCGATTCCACACCCAACATACCAGGTACAGGTGTGCATCATTTCAGTTCAGCCACTGGGAGATGGCTGTTCTGCTTCGTTCAGGTGTTTACAGCATAACTAATAACTTCAAAACATGAAAGTCCTTTTATATTGTACATTTTTGCAGATTTTCTGAGAAAATCAAATCAGTGCAACTCAGATCTGCAAGTAAGCATGAGTGGAAATTATAATATATATAGTTATAATGCAAATATAACTTATGACAAATAATAATATGCACTGAACATCTGTGCCAAAGAAAGCATTTAACTTCTGAAGAATGGACTCCCCACTCGTGCATTATATGGTATGCCCCCTAATTATTTTACTTTGGAAACTTGAAGAATGTGTGAGACTTTGTCCTGAGGGGTAGCAGTAAAGCGTAACGCAGGCTCGGTTTGTGGCGCTAAATGTGGCGACCCTTCCAAACAAAGTTTGTAGAGCTGGACTCGACTTGAGCCATGGTGTTGTCATTATTTTGTCCACTCTCTGTAGCATCTATCAAATGTCCATGTGGAAGTTTGACGTCTGCTCACTATCCTTCTTCCTGTTGACTCTGGTCCAGTGGCCCTGTTGAGGCTGCAGCCATGATGGCGGAGAGGCGCGTCAGAGAGACGGAGCGCTGTTTGAATCTGGGGGCGGGGAGAGGAGCGTCGGGGCCAGGGTCTGGAAGGTGGCCGTATCGCTGGCCGTCCTCGTCATACTGGTACAGGCGGATGACGCGGCTGCGGCGGGCTGGGCGTGGTGGGGAGGGCGGCAGCGCTCCTTGATCCGTCACCTCCTTGTTTTTGCCTCCTGTTGCCTCATCTTCACTTTCAAAAGTTGACTTTTCAGAATCTCTGGAAATCTCTGTCTCACCATCTTTCTCCTCACCGGCCGCCGCCGCCTCCTCTTCCTCCTGCACCATACTCCTCTTCACCTCCCTGCTCTCGCTTCCATGTTTGTCCTCCTCATACTCATCTGTTTCACTTTGACTCTCTCCATCCTCTCCTATCAGATACAAGCGACCAAACCGGCTCTCTTTCTCCCCCTCTTCTAACTCCTTATCACTGCCTTTATTTCTGTTCTCTGCACATCTTCCCTGTTCTTCCTCCTCCTCCTTGTAGTCACATCCTTCCAGATATGCAGTGGTTTCTGGTGGCTCGTCTTCCTCTCGTTTGTGCCGGAAGCTTCTCTGAGGTTTGGCAGGAGGAAACAGGTTAGGCGCAGAGTTGTTGTGCACCACCTGGTCGTTTTCAGAGGCCGGGTTCTCGTTCGTGGTCGGCAGGGTCGTCATGCTGACCTCGGGGCCGTGGTCGGTTGTGTCGCTTTGGCGCTTTCGTCCTCGTTTTGGTGACCGCAGCTTTGCCCTGACTGCCCCTGAACACCTGAGAGGAAAAAACAGACCTTTAATGTAAAAAGGGTCAGTCCACATGTGGTGTTCTCATTGGCTCACACTGAGATTATCTAGTGTTTGCGTCTTTCTCTATACTTGTTTAAAAATACATTGATTCCAATGCTGGTGATTTAGCTTGGGTTAAAACTTCTTCAAGAGGCACCAATAATGACGTAAGTCCCTGAACTCACCTGAGAACATGAGTCCTGCTCAAAGCTCCAATGCTGAATCCCAACACAAAGGTCAGCAGCACTGATGCAGCCACAGCTCCTGCAAACAGCTCGGCTGAAACACCTGCCTGCTTCGCCTCCTCAGACCCAGCATCCCTCCTGAACCTGAATGCAGCACAGCGGCTGCTTTGCTCGTATTCTCCCAGTTCCTGAAGGTTTTGACCATCGTGACCGACGTGGAGCTCATACGGCCACAGTGTAGTTCCCTCTGTGTGCTGCAGGAGGCAGTAGTACAGGCCACTGTGGAGAGCACTGGTGTTGGGGACCAGCAGGCTCCCGTCATGGTGCATGACGACGGGGTCCAGTTTACCATGGGAACCAGGAGTGTGGAGGTCTCCAAAGGGGGTGTGCCAGTACTGGACCACACCTGCATATGAGAGAAGAAGTACCAAAAGAGAGAGAGTGTCACAAAAACCTTTCCTTTGTGTCTCACGTGGCAATGCTGCAGTTCCTCTTTCATCCACTCGAGACTGGTTCCAACATAAATAATAAATAGAATCCATCCATCTTTTATAAACAGTTATGGTTTATCGGTATTGAAATGGGCACAAAGCTATGGCTGTAAGCACAGAAGCTCCGCCCACCTGCTTTTCAAACCCTCTGTTTGTGAGGGGTAGCTGGTCAGAAGACAGGCGCCTTAAAGGGGAGGAGCTAAAAAGCTGCTTTTTTTTTTTTAAAGAAAAATTGAAATACAGGCCTTTCTGTTTTAAAAATCATTGGTTACACTTCATAAACATGATAATCAACAGTAATAAGTGGGACACCACCAACGTTCAGTTCAGTGAAAGTTTTCTCTCATGTCAGAGCTGCTGGTGTCAGAGACCCAGAGAGACACAAATTTTCTGATTTATCAACCAAAAGAGACAAAAAACAGAGTAAACATCTTCAGGTGTGTTAGTTTGTGTTAGCAGCTGGATGAGTGTTTGAATGTTGGGTGTGTGGTGGAGACAACAGCTCTTATATGCTCCAGGGAGGCCGGCCAGGTGCACTAAATAACTCCACCTACTGAGAACCTGCAACACAACACAGAGGGACACACAGCAGGCGCAGTGGACAACCCCATCCACCTGCTACACCTGTGTTTTACAGTGAACATCTGTAAGCATTATCTGTGTTTTATTGTGTAGTTGCGTCTGATTCACAAACCAGCTATTTAGCAGCTACTGTATACTTGAATAATTAAAGTTTCATTGTTAGCCAAAATTATTATAAAGTGTTATCGCTTTAGATTCCTTTAGATTGGTTTCTGAAATATTTACAGCAGGAACGTGACCGCTTTCTACATTTAACAGAAGTCAGCGTTTGCCTTCAGAGAGCAGAGAGTGAGATGGAGTCTTCACTCACCTAAGTCCTTTCCATCTCCACAGTGTAAAGTCAACTCCACCTCTGGATGACCTTTGACCCGGCAGGTGGGGGCCACAGTCAGAGTGCCCTGGCCAGTAGCTCCTCTTCCTGGATTGGCTGGGACGGCGAGGAAGGCTGTGAAAGTTAACCACCTGGTTAACATTTTAAACCTGCAGAGGAAATAAAAGTCAGCTGGTTTTTACAGTTTGAGGGCAGTAAAATACACGAGTGTGTGATCGCACATGAAATTAAATGTATGCTGCTTTAGTGTCCAAATTCAGTCTAAAAACAGCAGCCAGTAAAAGTACAACGATTCAAGTTAGGAAGAAAGTGGAGCTTGTAGATGCAGAACGGAGCTGAAAGAAAGTGACCTGCAAGTCAAAAGAAGCGCAGCTGAGAACATTCCCAGCTTGTGGTAAGAAGCTTTTAGTTTAGAAGGTAAATGCAAACAAGGGCGAAAAGCTAAAACAGCTTGTTACAGAAAACAGCCAGGATAAAATAAAGACTACTGTGAATCGTGTATCGTGCAAAGTTACTGTGGCAAGATCCAAAAAAAAGAAGCAGTCCCATTACTTCCATCAAATTCCTGCTCTGGCGAGTAAAATACTTGAGTGAGCTGTAAATTTAATTACAACAAGCATCTTGGCCGCACCATATAAGATGCATCAGGAGTATATCAAATTGTGAGT